CCGATGTCCTCTACCAAGGACGTAGCATAACTTATGAATGAAATATCATTTTTAAATGTATTTTATTTTACTTTTTTTTTTATGCTCTAAACAATGTAATGACTAAAATGTTTTGCCGGGTCTCAAGAGGTTAAAACAAAATATGCTGCTTCAATAAATTATAATGTTAGCATATTTATAAAAGTTTTAAACATGTTCAACAATACTCTTGGTAAGCTTCATAGAGACATGTGGCAAATGCATCATGGCATACAATTCTACTCAGAATATGACACTGTGGAGTGGATTATTGTCTAGATTTTTCCATGACATTTTGTTCTATCAACATCCATTTATATATTAGACAGCTCAGGCAATGTCAAGATAGAGGCGGATGAAATTATATTGTATTGTTATAAAATGATATATTAATTATAATAAGTTTCACAGACTGTTCAAACATAATATGTAAAAATAAGGCTGCTATGCTTTTTAAATCTTTTGTTTTGACATCCATTGAGGGGGGTTCCGCTTTAATTAGATCCCCTGATCACCCAGTCCTCCCTCAACCTCCCTGTAATTCACACCTGGTGCAAAACTGTCGTGATAAATCCTAAAAGGTTCCCAGATTTACAATGTTTGCTTGTCCTAGAACAGCCTTCTTACCAAATAATCATAGGCCAAACCCCATAACCAGACACCTTTAACCATAAACTACCCCTGAAGTGAGACCCAAAAGACTGGTTTATAAAAATGTAGTCCAAGCCTAAAGGGTCAAAACTTACAGTAACCTCAAAACCAACAAGAATATCATACTGGGGTAAAGCATGTGAAGGTTTTGGTGATAACAAATGACAAAACACAGATTATTATTTTATGCTCTTATGACAGCGTACACTGAATCTCCAAGCTGACGGGAAGCATCGGAACTATGATGCCATTATGAAGCTGCTTCTTTGGCTTATTAATGATTCATGCACACTCTTTTGAAGTGTGCTCGGTAAACGTAAGGAATCGATTTAAGACAGAGCTGTTTAAAACCTAACCGCTAAATAATTAATTTAGCTCAGTTTGTTGCATTTTAATCAAGAGGACCCTGACAGTGGATGGGAGTGCAGGCTGTAGAAAAGGAACTTTCGGTAACTTTTCCGATATGTTTGTTGTTTGTGTTGCTATTTTAGATTCGCGTTTTGGAAGAGTTTTGCGATTTATGCGTGTACCATGCATGTCACAGCTTGCTTAGAGAAACTTTGTGTCTGTAAAACTCTCCTAGAATAGCTCTGTCTCTCTCTTTTTTCCTTCTGTCACCTATTTCAGGTTCTCTCTCTCCTCTCATCCTGTCATTCCCCTCCCATTTCTCCTGCACTCTGGTTTGGCGTTCTTATCTTATGATGGTAGATTCGCAACATCCCAGATTCCCACATCAATGTTAAATGGGTTCCCACTCTTCTTTTATTTGCACTCTTCCCTCTCACTCCTGCAACATAATACGTTCCATCTACATTTCGCAGGGTAAGATGAGGTACCATTTGTTGTCAGCTATACAAGGAAACTTAGACAGAAGACAAGTGAAGGTCTACTTTTTTTTTTTCAAGGCATCACTGGATAAAACGAGACTCTCATTGGCTAAAATTAAAATTAAGAGTCTATGACAGAAAACCACAAACATAAGGCTTTTTTGTTTGTTTTATATATTCATTGGCTGAAGTTGCTTCTGGTCAGTAGGTAAGATTTAAAAATGTGCAAGTAAAATACATAAATTATTTCTTATCTTTAATTCCATAGCTGTAATCTGTTTATTAATTATTATATAATAAAGTGTTATGTGATTTTGTTTACTGTATTTATTGAATGTGTTTAAAATTTAATACATTTTTACATGTATATTAATCTAAATCACATAGAGTTTGACTGAGAATTTGAATTGCTTGTATATGGTTGTATTATATATTTTAATAATTAAATACACTTACAAATATTTATATTATATATAAATTTATATTGTATAAATGATAGAAAAATTGTGTCAACCACATAAAAACAGCAAATATGTTACCAATAGTCTTGAAACCTTTTGTTTCAAACATTATAAATAATTATTAAGGTAAATTATGAAAATATATAACTTTTATAAAATCTCATTTTAAAAAAATCTTTGCCTGAAAAAACACTTTTATTAATGACAAAGAATACAAACAGAGCTGCAATAAACTAATTCAAATATATTGCTGGAACAAATCTAATGTTTTGCCACAGAAGTCATTAAAACTTCAAATGTAACAAAAAATACTTATATATTTATATATTTATACTAAAAAAATATATATATATTTTTCAAAGTTGTAAACAAAGATTATTTGAATGAATTTTACAATAAAATACTATTTCAGTTTTTCTACTTCAAAATTTCACATTTAATTCAATGTGTTACTTGCCATTTCTTTGCAATTGTTTGTGAAAGTTACTGATAATTTGTGTACACATAGGACTTTTGCCATATGTTTAAATACAGATGGATATTTCCTGTTTATATGATCACATGACAAAAACAAGTACAGATACCTGGATGCAAGAGTAGGGTTAACCTACTCCCAGGTTCATGTTACCCACTCTGCCTTACCTTTCTTCCTGCATTCAGAGCCATCAAACATCAGGCCGAATCTCCCGTAAGACACATAATTTAATAATTAATTTATGTATTTAGCAGACGTTTTTATCCAAAGCAACTTACAGTGCATTCAGGCTATACATTTTTTACCAGTATATGTGTTCCCTAGGAATCGAACCCACAACCTTTTGTGCTGCTAACGCAATGCTCTACCACTGAGCCACAGGAACATAACATAACACATACCACACTCCATTCCTTATTCAGAAAGGCATCTCACCAAAGATCAGTTTTAGTAATATCACATTACGACGTGAACACTGAATTAGATGACAGTCGCTTGTGAGGGCAGATCATTTTAAATTAATGAGTGCTCGATCAAAATGCCACTTTATTAGGTTAAGATGCAAAACGCACATAGACTGGTGCACCGTCACGTGGGTGAGCTGATTGGATTACCAGGACGCGAGTACCTGTGCGGATTTTGTTGCTGTTGTTTAGTTGAATGTAAATGGAATTAATTACCAAAATGTCATCAGGGATAACTGCCACACTCTCACTGGAGGATAAAATCAAATATATTACACCTGTCTCCTGGGTCCCGTCCGTGTGTGTCTGCCTCTGTGCCGGAGTGTGTGTCAGCATATCTTCCCGAGCTCTGTGAGTAATGACTTGATGACACCGTCTAAGTCAGCCAACACGCCCCTTCCTGCCTTCTGCGATATTACCATATATCCTACCAAACAGTGACACACACGCTCACACTCACTGTCAGTCGTCAGACAGATATTGATTGTATTTGCATGGTGTCTTAGGCTAGAAATATATGAGACTGTTTTATTGGAACTGCTGCAATGAGGCACCTGCCAGACCCAAATGCCATTGCTCATCCCGGAAAGATCGATCACATCCTTATACACATATACACAGACCGTGCACACATATACTACCACATAATGTTAATTCAAAGAGTTCAGTATTGTGATGTGTATTATGCTCGATTGATATACAATGGATAAATGGACATGTGTAATCTTCAGATTCTAATGTTGGACGTTTTCATCTTCCAGGCTCTTCTGGAAACACAGAACATGTTGAGGTCGTACATCTCTAACTTCACCTTTAACCTGGGATTTTCTGGGAAATTCTTCCATACAGGTAACTGTGTATGTTTTTAACTGATTTGTTGTAACATGCCTGATTACGTTGCTATAAATATAACAGCCAACAGGCGTTCTGTAATATTCTGATTGGCATGGTAACAGAACTCTGAAGTTTCTCTGGTTCCTCATGTTAGAGTTTACATGTTCTATTTTTGAAGTGTGTGTGAGTGTGTTTGTGTGGATAACTAAATTAAGTTTATATTAGTGTCACTGATTAGTTTTGCAAATTGTAGCTTATTCTGGTCAAAAACCACTTAGTACTTAGACAGGAAGGGACTGGTGTTATTTTATTATTGTTACTATTATAGTTTTTGTTTATATTTTGAATTGTATTTAATTTTTATATTTTGTTTTCATTTTAATTTTAGTTAAAGTTTTATTTATTAATTTATTTATTCATTCATTTATAATTTTTTTAGTTTTGGTGGGGTTTTAAAATATGTATATTTTTTTTTGTTTTAGTGTATGTTTTATTATTTTAGTACTGCAACTTAAACTAAATGAAAATGAGAAATGTTGCCATGGCAATTTGCGGAAATAAAATACATTTAAGTGTATTAATATATATTCATATTTTAATAAATGTTTCTTTTATTTCAACTGATGAAAATGTTTTTTTAATGGTTTTAGTTTGAGGTTATTTAGATCACCCAATCGTTGTGGGACCGAAGTTATTTTTGTTATGTATGTTTGTTAAGACTTTATGATACGTATAATGTTTGTTATGTATAAAGTTTGTTGCAGACCCAGACTTTCGATCTTAAAATATGAAATAATAATTATATTATATATATATATATATATATATATATGTGTATGTATGTATGTATATATTTGATGTGGAAAAAAATCTAGGTAAATAAATGGCATAATTTGTTATCAAAACTAATTTAGTCAAATTATGTAAAAAGTGAAAATATTTAATTGTATTTAGAATACATAAAATGCTTACTATGAAATTAGCTTTAGCAAAACAAAGGAGTCATCTATTTTAGTCCAAAATTATATTTCCCTCACCATCATTTCCACCACAAAATACTATTAAACTAAATCAATATTTGAGCTGTAGTGGAAATGATACTGCAATGGAAATGACATTCGTTCTTCCATGATGCCGTTTTAGGAATGTAAGATTTTTTGGGGGAATTTAGGAATGTTTATTTTCTAAAATTCCACAGGCCCCAAAAAATACTCAATATGCTAATGAGCTAATGTTTGTTTGTGTAGGTACGCAGGAGGAAGATGATGGAGATGATCTGTTGTTGAAATATGTCGATGAGTTCTGGTGGTTTCCTCATATGTGGAGTCATATGCAGCCTCATCTCTTCCACAATGAATCCTCTCTGATGGAACAAATGATCCTGAACAAAGACTTTGCTTTGGTGAGAAAAACTACACCCTTTACTCACCTGTACAATCACTGAACAAAACCATCATCCGGGTATTATCATATCCAGCGAAATACTCATTCACCTAAGGAACCATTAGCCCGGCAGCGAGTCGTGTCATTTACTGTGAGAAAATGAACACTAATTATGCGTGTTTTACAGGTGCTTTGAGACTTCAGTTGTTCCTCAAATAGAGAAGTGCCTCTTGTGATTTTGACAGAATCATTGAAACCTACACATAAACGGAGGAGAGTGTGAGTGTGAGTGTGTGTGTGCTCTCATTTAGTTATCTCTCGGTAACACTCCTGCATTTATTTGTCCCCTTTTTCTGTGAAGCAGCACTCTCGTGTCACACTCAAAGACACTTTTCTAGCAGAATGTAATACTCTGACACATATATTTACCCTTCATGTATTTCAGAGTGATACGCATACTGTAAATTGATGCAAGCGACCCAAGTGCAAATCCGGCTCATTCCATTTCCTGATCCCTTCCACTCTTCAGCTCCTTATCATTCCCTGACTGACTTTCCTTATCTATAACATGGACAAGATATTTGTCCTATATATAATATATAAAAAATCAGGAATGCTCTACTAAGACATGACAAAAACATTCAGATTTCTGAGAGAATTTCAAGGAAAAACAATCTAGCTGTATGCTGGCACAAGATGGCATGATCATTGGCATTCCTCGTTGCCACACAGCCTGTTTTATTTAGTTATGAGCTGTTTAGAAGCCAAACACTGCAGCTGAACCGTTAGAGAGGATTTCTACACGACCCACTGAACAAGTAAATTGTCACGCAAGTAAACTACCCATCCACTGTGTTGTGCAGTGCCACTCGTGCACTTGTGGTGTCCTTTAGTCTTTTGCTCTCGGAATTACACTTTGTATTAAAGGAATAGTGCACCCAAAAATGTAATTTAATGTAAATTTATTCACTCTCACTCCCATTCAAGATGTATATGAGTTTGTTTCACAAGTAATCCATTCCACACCACTCTAGTCCATCAATTAACGTCTTGTGAAGTGAAAATCTGCATGCTTTGGGCAAGTGATGTAATGCTAAATTTCTCTAAATCTGTTCTAATGAAGAAACTAACTCATCTACATCTTGGATGGCCTGAGGGTGAGGACATTTTCAGCAAATTATCATTTGTGTGTGAGCTGTTCCTTCAATGATGAGTTACAAAAAAATCACATTTATATATTTCTATGTATACTTTAGGGGTGTGTGATATTTATTGTTTGCAATAATATCATAACTGTTGTTTTAATGATATGTGAGCTGACATTATCGAGTATGTCACTTACTTACACTTACATTCACTGCGTGATGAAGCCTATTGGAATGCAGTTAAAGTGCGCCTATAATTTGTTATAAAGGCAAAAAATGTCCATGTATAGCCTAGGCTTTGTGTTGTATATTTATAGGATATGATATAGTTTAGTAATTTCACACATGCAACAGTGCCGTTTTCCTGAGTATCAGTGCATGAGCACGATCGCAAATGAGATTGATTTTATACAAAACAATAAAAAAATTATATTGAGTGAGTTACATTTTAGACACAAAGTTGTCTGCTTTTTCTGTTTCACCAATGAAAACAAAACTGGAGCAGAGCATTTGTGCATCCCAGAGCAACACTGCAGTGTTTCGTTCCTGAATTAATCTGTTTTTGAACAAATCATTTGAGTCAATGATTCAATTATCTATTCATAAAGAATTCAATTCAAAAGCTCTTGTTTCATTTCTGAATGAATCAGTTGTTTTGAACAAATTGCTTGGATGAATGATTCAATGAATCACTCATTAAGACAGGGACTTGCCGCCACCTACTGGTGGTTTTAGTGTCCTATTTATTTATCCATGACAGGCCTAAACCAGTCAAGGTACCAGCACAAAAACTGCAAAAGATTGTTTAATTATAATTATCAAAAAAAATCCCAGTACATATCGAGATATAATTTTTTTGTGAGTATCAAACCCCCCCCCCCAGTAGACAGCAACTTATTGTAGATGGTTGTATACTCACTAGCTGTCTCTATCTAGACTTCATCTGTATTGTTAGGCTGTGTATTAGCATCACTGTCACTTATACAGCCGTAGAAATAGAAATACAGCCGTGTGATGTGAAGAGTGGAGTGAGTGATAAACTACAGAGCGTAAAGTGCCCCTGCTGGAAGTCACAAACAAGCACAGTCTCTGTCTGGAAACATAACCGCCAGCTAAATTATAATTTGTGTCATGCGCTACGGCTTGAGCAGTTTAGCTAATAGTTTTTTATGCAAATGCAGTTTGCATTAAAATGTGACTAAAATGTAATTTTAACAAGGCTCTTTTGAAAACAATAGCCTTTTTCATAAAGCTACTGCTTGATTTATCCATATAATTAATATCTTTGTTGTTTATTTTCCCCCACATTATCATTTTCAATCATTTCATCTTTATCTATAAAGAGGCCTTTATATTACAGTGAACTTTAAATGGCTTTTAATGTGAAAACTGAGAAATATAATTATTAGAAATCAGATTAGCTTAATATCTTTTTTACTGTGGGTGTGTTTTATATATATAATATTTTGTGCAAAAACTAACTACCATCTTAACTACATTTTTCAACAGAAACAGATGACTTTGTCAAGTACAGTAGTAATTGTAGTGTAACAAAACAATACATCACAGTTTCTGTATCACATTGTTTGCTTTAGATCTGTGGCAATAATCATACACATTCTCCTAAAGCTCTCCTACAATGTGCTGTCTTTTCTTTTGTAGTTTTAGAGTCAGATTTACTTTGGTGACTCACTTCATTCAGATGATTCATGTAAGTGAACCGAATAAAAAAAGAAATGTGACCCTGGACCACAAAAGCAGTCTTAAGTCGCTGGGGTATATTTGTAGCAATAGCCATAATAAACATTGTATGGGTCAAAATTATCGATTTTTCTTTTATGCCAAAAATCATTAGGATATTAATTAAAGATCATGTTCCATGAAGATATTTTGTAAATTTCCTACCGTAAATATATCAAAACGTAATTTTTGATTAGTAATATGCATTGCCAAGAACTTCATTTGGACAACTTTAAAGACGATTTTCTCAAGATTTAGATTTTTTTGCACCCTCAGATTCCAGATTTTCAAATAGTTGTATCTCGGCCAAATATTGTCCTATCCTAACAAACCACACATCAATGGAAAGCTTATTTATTCAGCTTTACATCAGATGATGTATAAATCTCAATTTCCAAAAATTGACCCTTATGACTGGTTTTGTCGTCCAGGGTCACAAATGATTCACAGATGCAAACCTCTGCTCATGGCTTGAAGTCTCTGGTAGTATGTTTTTATAGCAAAATATTTAATTTAAACAGTGCTGATCATCATTTTTGTTTTTAGCTCTAGTATTCTAGTTTTTTTTTGTTTTTTTTGTATTTAGTGTAAATGTATCTCTTCAAGTTTAATGATGTTTTAATCACTTTAAACATGATTTGTTTATTCAAAAAATTGCAGACCCAGACTTTCAATCTTAAAATATGTATCATAAAAATAATTTGTTTATAATTAATAATCTAAACAAAAAGTTAAATATGTCTAAACCGTGTAACCGTTTATTGTGTGAAAATTAACAGACAACAGAGAAATACTTTTGTGATTACAAAGCATGCTACAGTTTTAAAGTAGCGTCCAATACTGGTGTTTATTGCTCTCTCTCTCTCTCTCTCTCTCTCTCTCTGTGTGTGTGTCTGTGTGTGTGTGTGTGTGTGCACGTCAGGATTTGCCTACATTATAAGGTCCAAATGTCCCCACAAGGATAGTAAAACCTGAAATCAACTACATTTTGGGGAGCAGCCAACATGCCCTTCAAAGAAAAAAGCTCAAGAAATATAGTAAATAATGTCTTAATTAAGATTTAAATATGCAGAAAGGTTTATGTGATGTTTAGGAAATAGAAAATATCATTAGCTCAGTATACAAAATAGATGGAAAGACTACGCCATGATAGAAAAACAAATGTGTGTATGCGTGTGAGCTGTATCTCTTAATGTCATGACGTAATAGCGACGCATCCTTTTTTCCATATTGTGACGTACATATGAGTGAAACTGATTATTGAAAAGAAAAATGTAGGACGGGGTCTTGGTTCAGTTCTTCGGTTGTTGATTGGATGTAGACAGGCTTAATGTGCAGATTTTAAACAAATGAAACATATGCATGGACGAATCATTCACAATAAGATCAACATGCATTTCATGCTGTCTTTTAATACATTTTCCTCTCAGAGCTGCCATTAGGATCTGCTCATAGTCAATGACAATCAACAAACTGCACACTTCAAAAATTTCCCAGAAAAATCTCCTACATGAGTGACCAAGGTCAAGCAGTTAGCATGCGCTTGACTCTGGGTGCTGAGTTAAACAGACTAGTGTCTGTCAGCTCAGAGGGCAGGGACTGTGAGAGTCGAGCTGACAGAGAATTTTAATGGGCCACGAGCAGAAGTTTGATAATCTATAGAAGACAGCTTTGATTTGCCTTTATTGGTTTGGGGGTTTGATTAAATCAGAGAGCTGTGTAGCTAAGCTAAATGTGACGTCGGTATCGGGCGAGTACTGGAAAAAGTGGTATCGGTGCATCCCTAAAATACAGTTATCGACTCAGCTGTTCTTTAGATGTCTGTTATCTCACCTATCTGATTTTAATTAGTTAGCCCAGAGAAATTTAAAAATGAAAATGGATTTTTTTTATAAAGATCATAAAGCCTCGAATCAATAGCTCTGAGGTAGCTCTGTGTCACTCTGAAGATAAGTGTGAATGAGCACACCAGCTATAAAAATGTGTGTGCGTCTGTGTCTGGAAATGTGTGTGTGTGTGTGTGTGTGTGTGTGTGCACGCACATTCTCTTGAGGGAAATTATGTGGATTACTGGGTCCTCATGATATGGAAGTTAAATCTGAGAATTCACCTCAAAATACAGTCATCGACTCATCTGTTCTTTAGATGTCTGTTATCTCACCTATCTGATTTTAATTAGTTAGCCCAGAGAAATTTAAAAATGAAAATTGATTTTTTTTTATAAAGATCATAAAGCCTCGAATCAATAGCTCTGAGGTAGCTCTGTGTCACTCTGAAGATAAGTGTGAATGAGCGCACCAGCTATAAAAATGTGTGTGCGTCTGTGTCTGGAAAATGGGATTTTTGGTCATTTTTTCTATACTCAAGCACTCAGCAAATAAATTAACTCAGTACTAATAGAGTACTAAATGTTAGTCTATATGCATCACAGTGTGTTCTAACCAGGCGTGACATGCAACAAGCTTTTTCTTCAGTGCAAAAAAGGTTTTGTGTCATAACCAGCCACAATCATGAAAAGCAACAATCGATAGCACATATTACAATGATTTCTGATGTATCATGTGACACTAAAGACTGGAGTCATGAAAATTCAGCTTTGCCATCATTAAAATAAATAGATAAAAAAATAGAAAACAGTTGTTTTAAATTGTAATAATTTACAATATTGTTGTTTTTACTGTATTTGCTGAAAATTGATGACTAATTTTCCAGTTCATGGAAAATGAGAGAAAATGTGAAATGTCCTGGAAAATCTTGTTGTCCTGGAAAATTACTTTAAATTTAATTTTTGTTTTTCTATAACCAAGAACAAACATTTTACCACTGGCCCGAAACAATTAATGTTAGTAGTGGAAAACATTACATTTAGGGATGCCGATTTTCAAATAGTTTTATTTTCAGATGGTTAAATGAAATAGTTAAATGGTTTTAATATTTTTTTGCTATGGTATTGAAATAGGTTCCAAAAATCATTTGTCGTTTTGTATATTTAAAGACTCATATTAAATATATGATTTTAAAGTAAAGTCATGGCCATAAACTGTGCATCTTTTAAAGACTTTTGGAAAGAGGAAGATATTACTTAAGGACATGATCCTTGTCTTTTATTCCTGTCATAATTAAATTGAACTTGTCCTTGAAAAGTCCTCGAAGTCCTGGAAAATGATCACTGAAAAAGAGTGGGTGATTGGTGTTAAATGTTTTGAAGTTGTAAGCCATCCACTTCAGTACTTGATTACTTGTGTATGTGTGTTTATGAAACATTGTAATATGCTTGCGTATGTGCATGACGTTCAGCTATAAAGTATATTTATTTGTGTGTGTATTTCTCATTACAGGAGCATGGTATTCCAGTAGATCTGGGATATGCTGTGGCGCCTCATCATTCTGGTGTATATCCAGTCCATATTCAGCTGTATGAGGCTTGGAAGAAAGCATGGGGGATACGAGTGACCAGTACTGAGGAATACCCACACCTCAAACCTGCACGCCACCGCAAGGGATTCATTCATAACGACATCATGGTACGGCTAACACATCTTTACACCGTACAACAATCTTGTGTGGTATATGACAAAAGTTTTAAGATTTTTTCATGTGGAATAAAACGCATTTTTCCTGGGATCAGTATCGCTGGAAACAATATATCACGCACTTGAAAGTCTATTATCACAGAATATTAATATTAGAAAGTGTAATAAAATTTAATATTTGATTTCATCCACAGGCAGTGTCGTACAAGATCCTTCCTCAATGCCTGATTAAAAATGTAGTGTGTTATTATAATATTTTGTTCTGACTAACCGAACAAACTTTTCTTAACCCATTAGTGCTATGCAAGCAGGCTAAGCTGTCAATAACAAACTTACTTAACATACACAAAATCAATTAATGTGGACGGGACGCATCACATGCTTTGCAGGAGGTTGTATAGATTTGCAATCTGCCACTGGTTGCTACACAGGTAGTGTCATGAAAATGCAGTGAGACTTACCTGCAAGAGACTGCCAAATACAAGCAACAGCTAGCATAGCAAATCAATGAAACACACACACACTCCAAAAGAATTAATGATGACACACTGGGACTGAGATGAAATAGCCCATAGTGCATTCATCACAGCCAAATCTGGTACACACGCACAGATTTTGACTAGATGTCCCCAGCCGCAGCTTTGAATCAGTTTTTTAAATAGCTTTTTGCTGTCTCTGTCCCTCATTTCTGGTTAAAGGCTCGATGATTGTCTGAAGATTTCATTTAAAGGGATAGCTCACCCTGAAATGAAAGTGTTGACATCATTTACTCACCTTCATGTAATGTCTAAACCCAGATGGCTTTCTTTCCTATGTGGAACACAAATAGAGATGTTAAGAAGAATGTTTGGGACTGATAACCTCAGTCACCGTTCAATTTCATTTCACTTTCAAAATTTCATTTCTTTTTTTTTGTTTGTGGCATTCTCATTACTATCTCATTTTGTGTTGCACAAAAGAAAGTCATAGAAAGAGTAAATATTTTTTTTCTGTATTTTCTTCTTTTTTATTATTATTTATGTCTTGTTTTCCAGTTCCTTTAATCAAGATCAATTTAGAAGTAGGGCCTATAATTTTGTAATAACACCTAATCATATATGACAATATGTCTTGAATTAAAGTGCCCCTATTATGGGTAATGAAAGGTTCATATTTTGGTTTTGGGAGTCCCCAACAACAGGTTGACATGCATGCAAGGTCAAAAAACACTTTCATTGTCTTATAATATGCATTTATTTTTTACCTTACTTGCTCAACGACTCCCAAACGATTCGTTTAACGATTCGTTTAACGATTCATTTTTCCAAACCCGTCCTTTGTGTGACGCTAATCTGCGGTGATTGGTCCGATTGGTCTCATTTTCATTTCATCTCGCCTGTAATGCCTGATAAAACAGGGTTTGTGAGAGCAGTGCTGCTTTATGTACAGCGTTACCGGGGAAACCGCTATTTTACGCTCCAAAAGCGGCACCTAGTGGCAAAAAATGAATTTGCATTTTCATTCAGACCAACACGAAAAGATCAACAAGTGGGCGGGCAATATGCTAATGTATCACGTTGACATCAACATGAAGCGGCTTGGGATTCGTTTTAAAAACGACTCGTTTCAATGATTTAGAGTCGACTCTCTCTTTTGAAAGACAATAACTTTATACACGGTGCACTTTCAGATTTAAAACTTTGCAGGATGCTTTCATTCACCTAGAGCTGTGTTACACACTGCATGAAAGGTCATTTTCAAAAATCCATAATAGGGGCACTTTAATTTTATTTTTCGTACCCAATTGCCAAATTGTTTTTGTTGAGGTCAAAGCATAAACCTAACTCAATTTTGTTAGATTTATGCTTGCAATAAGAACAAGCAATTTGCCAACTTTTAATCTTTTATGCAATTTTAGTGAATTGGGTTGTTTTAAGCTGTTTAGATATTTTACTGAAAAAAATACTGATTAAGAAAATGAGTTTTTGAAGTGCAGTGCAACTCTCATGAAACAGCAGGAATTAATGCACCCTTTATTTGGTCTTAGGAATACTTGTGCCTTGTTTTTGCAGTTCAGACAAACAAATTAGAGTACTCTCTTTTGTTAGAGCATCAGCACACTACAACATGTCTCTTTTTGTTCTTTCTAGTGAATTAGAGATCTGTCATATTCTCTTATTCACAATAAAAAAGAACAAATGTTGGCAGGCCTAGTCAAGTCAGTTTTGTTTTTACATGCAATTTAGATGTCATCTTCATCATCTCTAGCTTTTTAAGAGCGTTTTGAATCTAGCTAAAGTCAGATGTTTTGCAGCAGGTGTTTGTGAGCCCAAATCTGGCTTTTTTTATTTAGTGCATGCACCAAAACAGGTTTCGGGTCAGTTGTTCGGACACCTGCGGCCTAACTACTGGCCTGCTCGGTGCAAGCATGACAGGTCTCAGATCAGAGATCCAGAGTGCTGAATCCTGATGAGTATGGATCCGTGGAGCTATGAAGCATGTCAGACTGTTACAGTTTGATCTGGCTCCGCAATACAGAAAGTTGACATCGCCCCATAGAACTGACTGCTCCTTTAACAAACCACCACAATAATATACTGACAGGGCAGGTTACATTTAATGAGAAGAAAGAAGAGGGAAGGTGGGTGGAAGGACGCATAAATAGAGTCTCATAAATTCTCCAGGCGTGCTGGTTGGAGAGGAAGTTTAGTGTGTTTGCACTAGAATTGAATTTTAGGAGATGGAGGAGATTAAAATATTAAATCAAGACCACATGCATGCAATACAATTGTTCTGTGCCCGTCAAGTGTGTGTATGTAGTTTCAGAGTTTAGTTGAACACGCGTGCCACACAATAAAACAGAGAGAGATGTTAAAGTGGGAAAGGCAATTAAGTTTAAGGTAGATGGAAAGATTGGAGAGAGTCCCAAAGATCTGTTCCAGCTCAATAAAGCAGTCCGAAAACAAGCACATGGGTGATGAAAGCTCTGATCAGTGCATTAGAGCCCAGTGTGTTTGTGGGTGTGTTAATGTAATAGATTTTGCTGTTTTAGCAGTTTGCTGGAGGAGCCTAGCTGCCTCGCTGATTTACACACTGTTACAGTGTTGAGAAATTTACTCTGTTGGTCCTTTATAAATGTTCTAGCATCTCTCAACCTGCCTCTCTCTGTCCATCATACACAGAGCAAGTATGTTGGACATACACTATACTGTTCAGAAGTTTGGGGTCGGTAAGATTTATTTTTTTTTTTTAATAAAAAATGTTTTTGAAAGTCTCTTATGCTCACAAAGGCTGCATTTATTTGATCAAAATATAGTAAAAACAGAAATATTGTCAAATATCATTACAATTTAAAATAACCATTTTCTATTTTAATATATTTTTAAAAGTAATTTATTTCTGTGATGTAAAGCTGAATTTTCAGCATCATTACTCCAGTCTTCAGTGTCACATGATCCTTCAGAAATCATTCTAATACGCTGATTACATTTCTTATGATTTTCAGTGTTGAAAACAGTTCTGCTGCTTTAAATTTTTTGGAAACTCTGCTGCATTTTAAGGCAATTTAATGTGTCCTTGCTAAATAAAACTATTAATTTTTCTTATATTACTGACCCCATACTGAATGGTAGTGTATATATTTCATTTGGTTAACAGAAAGTTGTGTTCTTGTTTATGCTTTATGTATGAACTTTGTCTCAGATGTTAAATTACCCTTAAAATTGCTTAAATAAACAAAATATGAATAGAAACAAGTGATAGTGTACAGTATTAGTATACAGCTATAAAATGCTGGCTATGGTTGGCATAGCTCAGAATTTTTTTTTTCTTGGACGAATCTGATGAGAAATGTTCAAGTTCAAAAATGCAAAGAAAAATGCAAAAATCTCCTCTCAACTTAATCTCAAAAGTTGAGATATTAAAGGAAACGTTAATTAAAAATGAAACCCTTCATGTTTAGTCACCTTCATGTTCCAAGCCATATTTATTTTTTTTCTTCGTCAGAATACAGAAGGAGGAATTCTGAGGAATGTATTGGTCTGTCTTCTCTACAGTTTCACTGAATGGCAACTGGCAACTTTCAAAGCCTCAAAAAGGACAAAATTTGCATAAAAGTACTCTAGTTTTCTAGGAAAGTTTTCTAGTAAATTATAACTTCGATTTCAATCTGTTCTTCACACAAAGCTATTTCATAACTTCAGAATATTTCGAATATAAAACAATGAATTTCATAGACTACTTTTATGATATTTGTGTATCGTTATATTGAAACCTGAAAGCCTCAGTCCACATTTGTTGTAATTACATTGAAAAGAGTGGCTGTTTTGTCAAAATACAGGTATATAATGTGTTTTACTGTGACTGGACGAGAGAGCTAGAGAAAAAGAGAGAAAAGGAGACAGCAGTTTTTCTGTTGTTGTCAAGCAGTAATTTTGTCACATTGAGTCACAGTATATTTTTTATTCTCTTTCTCTTTTCTTCTTGTCTGTCTTTGCCTGTTTGCCACATATTTTATTGAAGCATGCAGCTTTTTCCCACTGAGAAATGATCCTGTTTTCTTTGACTGATTTAGACAGAAAGCGAATGGATGAATATATATGAACTTGTCTCCACGCAATGCCGGAATACATATACAGTGATATGAGACCTAATAAAATGTCATGTGTAGAACTGAAACTGGCAGTATTACATGATGAACAACAGAGAGGTTTATTAATCCACCATTGGAAGATTCATAATGAGGTTTCATTAGCAAATATTAAGTTTGGTTTGCACTGTACTGACCGCAAATCTTTGTTGTCCTAAACTCTGTGTGTGTGTGTGTGTGTGTGTGTGTGTGTGAGCAGGTGCTGCCCCGTCAGACATGCGGCTTATTCACACACACCATCTTCTATAAAGAGTATCCAGGAGGCCCTAAAGAACTGGACAAAAGCATACGAGGAGGAGAGCTGTTTCTGACCGTCCTACTCAACCCTGTGAGTGTAAATCACACAGACGCTCACACACTGCTACTCCCTGTCGTCTCTGCTCATTTCATTCTATCAGCCTGTTGTATTGTTTTTCTCTGTCTTATTCTGTCCTCATGCCCCCCTCCCATCTCTCTCTGGGTGTCCATGTTAGTGTTGCTTATAGATTTGTTCTCCCAGCATGAATCACTGTTCTTATGTTGAAACTCTGCTCTGCTTGAATCAGAAGCTAAATGAAAAACAAGAGCGTGTGTACAGTCGTGTATGTGTGCTGTATGTTTCTACATTAATTCAGTGCTCCTCAACTAGTGGGTTGCGGCCCAAAATTGAGTCACAGGACTATCCTGATAGGGTCATGGACTGCAGGAAAAAAAAATGCATATAACAATACATAGTTTGTATAGAAAAAAAGAGGTTATTCAATTTTAAAAGGGAAAAATGCTTCCCACGTATTTTGCTATGGATGTCAAAGGTGGTGCATCCAATTTTGGCCCAAATCGGCGTGTTGCTGTGTTGAGTCCATTGTTGTCTATTACAAGTCATTTTTGTAAAAGAAATAAAGCTGAAGTTAAATAAAAATAAATGACAAATTTAAATGAAAATTAGAAATGTTCTAACTAACTGAAATAATCTAAAGGAATAGTTTTCCTTTCCTTTTCCAAAAATGACAATTTGCTATTAATTCACCCTCAGGCCATCCATGATGTAGTTGACTTTATTTCTTGAGTAGAAGAGTAAAGAAGATTTTTAGCTGAAATCGTGCTCCTTGGTGATTTAAAAAATGCAAGTCAGCGGCTGCAACACAAAATTAATCCCCGTGGCTCCTGACGATATATTGAGGTCTTATGAAGTGAAATGATCGGTCTGTGCAAGAAACTGAACATTATCTACAACATTTTTGGTGGACTTGAACCAGTTCACCAAATCAGACTGAACCGCCTGAAACAGTTTGCCAAATGAAAAGGCATTTTATGGTTTTTCATTGTTTCTGTAAAAGGGTAAGTTGATGAAGACAAGTTGGGTTCCCACGGGTCCTTGAAATCCCTGAAAATTTGTTAATCTGAAAAAAAAATTTCCAGGCCCTGGAAAGTTTTTGAAAAGAAGCACACATAGATAAAGGTCCTTGAAAGTGCTTAAATTTATTTTGTGCAAGAACCGTGCAATATGTTTGTGCAATATGGAAAAAAATTCCATATTATTCCCTCTGGTCCGCTAATGTGTTATTTCGCCAACACTTCGTGGCCTATGCATGCTAGCTTGCTTGATTTACGTTAGTTACGCACGCATTTACGTGTTACATTAAAGGGGTCATATGATGCGATTTAAATTTTTCCTTTCTCTTTGGAGTGTTACAAGCTCTTGGTGCATAAAGAAGATCTGTAAAGTTGCAAAGACTAAAGTCTCAAATCCAAAGAGATATTCTTTATAAAAGTTAAGAGTCAGCCACGCCTACCTAAAACGGCTCGTTCTAACACGCCCCCACATGTCTACGTCACGATGTGGGAAGATTTGCATAACACCGCCCAAACGTTCACGCAAAGAAAGAAGGCGTAACTTATATTCTCGCTGTAGTATTGTTGTTGCCGCCGCCACCATGTCGTGAAGGCACTGTGTGCTTCGTTGTGAAAGCGAAACTACTTTGTCTGG